GAGGTTGATGAAGCTGTCGCAAGACGACACAAACAAAAGAAAACACACACTCGCGCCCTTCTACACAGGAAAGAGCACAGCGGTCATCACGATGTACTTAATTTCGGAGGTTGACTCCAGCCGCTGCGGTCGAGGACAGATTCCATCAGCCCTTCTTCCACCTCGCGCCGGTGGCGTGTCAAAAAGGATCCGGCCACCGCACACTTCGTACTGCTTCCATCCCCTACCACAGACTCGCCAGCTACGTCGTGAAGGCTACCGCTTGCCAGCAAGGCACGCTGCTGCAGTATCAAGTTACGATAACCCAATTGTAATACAGTAGAGGCGAGAAGGGTTTGCTCGCGCTGCAAGCCATTGTTATTCTCACGTAAGCGTGCCTGTTGAATACATGACTCCGCACCATCCTGCGTTGATGCGCCGTCTGCATCCTTTCCGCTAACCTTGCCACCCGCTGCGAAGCTGTCCGACTCGCTGTCGATAGCACTATGGCTACCAATACGCCTAGANCTGCTTTGTGCGTCTTCCAGCTTTGCAATGGTCGTCACAAGCTGATTGCGCAAATCCTCTTTCTCCTTTTCTGCCTGCCGCATCTGCGCCTTTAGGGCGTCCATTGCGGCGGATGGTTGAAGTCCCTCTGATGGTAGCAACGCAATCTGGCGCTGCAGAACATGCAGCAGCCGCTCGGCAGCCTCTTTTTGGCTCCTCGCTTCATCCAACTCATTTTCTAGCTGCACAATACAGTCAACAGAGTTAACAGAACCAAACGAGTGGTTAAAGCGCGCATCTTGATCGTTAGCGCCATCCTGGTTTTGCGTCTTGAGAAGCGCCAGTTCCGTGCGAAGGTCTTCCATTTTTTTCTCTAGATCTGTTCTGGCGGTGATCTGCACGGCCAGCTTGTCCTCTGCCACGGCAAGTCGTTCAAGCGCCTCACGCCTCTCACTGTTCTTCTTTACAAGCTCCTCCTCCGTCTGCCGGAGTTTGCGCTTCATCGAGCCAAGCACGGACTCCTGCATCATTGTCGCTTCCTTGAATGCTGCGATCTTTTTCGAGTGCTCTTCAGCAGCCGCTGTCAGAGACCGCACTGCTTCGTCCTTCTTTGCGAGGAGCTGCCGCAAATGTTCTTCGTCGGCAAACGCCGCATGCCGCTGTTCTGTCTCGGCGAGAATTTTCTTGTACTTGGATTCCCAATCCTGCTTCTCAGAAAGCGCGAGCTGCAACTTGGAGTCGAGCTCCGTCACTTTCGCCTTAGCATCATCGAGTTCGCGCCGGAGCTGCTGCACGTTTTGGTTGACAGCCGCCTCATCAACGAGCGCAGGGGGTGGGCGTGTACCACGCGACGACGGGCCGCCGTGGCTTGACACAACACTGCGCTGGACGCTGGAACGACGCGAGTCCCCCATCGTCGGGGTCTCGTTGCGCCGCCGCGGTCGCAGTGCATGTTTTGTAATACAGGCCTTTGCCGCGTTGGACAGGACCACTTGATCCGCGTGTGGCAGCGTTTTCAGCGCCTGCAGGACGGTGGCGTCACCGCTGAGCACGACCATGACAACAAAGATATCCGTCAGCTCCATCAAGTAAGTGAAACCCTTGTCGTGTTCCGTTTGGCTGATGGACTCATCGCCCAGTGCTGGCGAGTTCGCGATATCAGCTGCGCTAATAATCTGCATGAGGTTCAGTGTGTCCGGTGCACCCAAGGCCTGATGGGCATAGTCGTTCATGTGCCGCACGAGCGCCATGAGGTTCCCTTTTCGCACTACCCAATTCTGGCGACTCGCAACAGACTGCTCGGCAATTTCATCGGCGTCAGGAAACGCATGTGGGGCGATGCGGGCAAGAATGCGGTACAAGTACGCACCGTCGCGGAGATCCTCGTACCTTGAGGGCGGTGCAACTCCCACACCCGTAGAGTCTTCGCCCACACTAGACAGTACTTGGCGCACAAGAAGAAGCACTGCTGCCTTCTTTCCTGCCTCCGTCATCCCCAGAAAGAGTCACGGCAGACTCGCTCTTGCTTTGTATACGGGGGTAACTCCTCTTCTTCATGTTGGCCCAGGAATAAGTTTTTTTTTTTAAAAGCCCAGAAAAAAAAAAAGCATCAATGAAGAACGCCTTGCACTCCCGCCCTCCCTTACAATGACAGGCTGAGGCCAATAAACCCACAGCTGAAGTGAGACACCGCATTTGGCGTGAGGTATGAACTTCGGAGCGTCTCAGTGCCACACCAAACGCAAAAAACAAACAAACAAACGAAGAATAGGTAATGAGATGGATTCTATGATGCATAGCGCGTCCTCTTTATGCTATTTTGCTTTTCTTTCCCTTTCTTCTGTTCCTCGCCCCTCCAACATCACACCCCAAGCGTTGTGTGTGTAGCCACACTCAACGCCTCCCATACTGTTAGAGGGGTATGGCGGTGGGAGAGACGGTGTCCAAGGAGCAAGAATAGAAAGAATACGCACAGGATCAAATCAAAGAGCCCCTTTCCCCAACAATTTTATGTTGTCAATGGCCTCTGACATTTTCTCCGGGTACTTTTGCAGTTCCGGGGTGCTTACCGCGACTTGAATGTACGGCATCGTAAGTTTACTCATGTTTACGGCAGGTGCCTGGCTAAGCACACCGCGCACGTATGACTTACCCCGTTGGTTGTCGTACATGAGCGACCAGAAGGCCGTAACCGCCAATTCCTGACGGCGAAATATTTCCGCGCTGTCGAATGAGCATGTCGAGTTTCCACCTTCCGTCTTCTTGTAGTACCGCGATGCTGCCTGCTCAGCAAAACTCTGCAGGGAGGCCTTCTTTACCTCCACTTCTCCCTGCAGCGATAACATGGCCTTCATGCTCTCCTTCGACTCTGGGCTATTGCTGTCGTGTAGCAGCGGCTGCAGCGTGGGCTGTGCCATCAAGGCTGCCTTGAATGTGAGCAGAATGCGGTTGTCTTGGCACAACTGTGTCTTCAATGTGGAGTTGAAGCAGAGATTGCGGAGTGTCAGGAGGGCCAGCGTACCAGCGCTGCTGGCATTGGCTGCAGCCTCAATGACCATAGTCATGAGCTCCACCTGGCGTATGATGGCGAGTTGCGCCTCCGCCTGGAAGGAAAGCGCCGCGAGGAGGCGGAAAAGGCCCAGAGGGACCGGCGTGCGTTGGCGCTCGAACCTGAGGAAGAGCGACTCCATGTGCTCGACACCCCTAAGCTTCATCACGCCGTGTGTAAAGGCCTCCCCACCTTTCCCGCACGCCGTAGCGCATATGTCGAATCCAAGCGTCGTCACCACCGCCTTGCTTGCCTCCCGCTCGCCGATGGGTGTGCGCTTCATCGCGTTGTTGTTCTCCCTCTGCAGCTGCTGGTTCTCACTGCCCTGTGCGACACCGAGCGTGAGGCCTAAAATGCGGCCAAAACACGTTCGTGTTAGAGGCTCCCCGGCCGTGCTGACCTCATGCAGGAGGCAGCGCCGGCCTTCGCTGCTCGAAGCGAGTGCTGCCGCCGCCCGGAAGGCCATGCGCCGCGTTGTCTCATACCCGAGCACACTGCGGAGGGATGCGCTCAGTGGATGCAGCACCTCACGCGGCACAGCGCGGCAGTCAGGGAAGGTGAGCACACTGCACACGAACGAGAGTGACACCAACAGCGACTCCATATCCTGTGTGCCGAGGGTTCCGCCACCCCCCTTGAGTTCCTGCACGTGCTCACCGAGCTCCAGCACCCTTGCAGCGAACCAGCCAACCTCGTGCGCCTTTTCGTTGGCAGCAGCAAAGTGAGCGACAAGACGGCACTGCATGCCGCTGACGCAACTAACAGAGGTGAGGGTCAGCGACGCGGCAAAGAGGTCACCGCTAGATTCTGCCAGTGCCTCGCTCAGCTCATCCGACGGCACAAGTACGAGGTTGGAGATGAGAGCACAAACGTGTGAGCGTGTGCGCTGCGAAATGCGGTTGTTCCGCATAATACTACAGAGATGACCAAACACGAGCGGCGGCAGCGCGGGGAAGCCCTTTGCCGTGTTACCGACAGCACCGAACCACACTGAGCATAGCTGCATCATCCACTGCAGCATGCTCTCGTAGGAGCGCTCCAGGGCAGCGTGCTGCTCCACTCTAACACCGAAGCGCACCGCCAACACGTCAAAAATGGCATCAAGTGATGGGAGGGCAAAGGCGCTTGCGAACAAACCGTACATGATATCATTCGAAAAATGATCCCTGTGTTCCGGGTGCGAGATGAGGAGAAATAGAAGCCCACGTGCCAGGGAACAGGCAAAAGAAGACTGCACCGAGATGCCCTCTATACTGCTCAGGGAACGTGAGAGGGCATCCTTCGTGGTTGTTGCGGTGGGGATGGCTTTGTCACACACCTGCGCCAGCTTCTCGTTTGCTTGCGTTGTGACACGAATCAGCCGGAACCAGCACTCCAGTGATCGCTTGCCGTATGGCAAAATAACACTATTAGAAGTCTCATGGTGATAGTCGGCGAAGTGTTTCTGTTGCTCAAAAAGGGAAGCTGTCAAGGAAAGAAGTGCCGCGGTAGCGTACGTGATACCATTCGAAGATGCCAACTCTAGGAGCTTAATGGGAAGTGCTGTCCGAGTAAAATTGAAACTCCGCTCCACCTTCACGTCATTTGCAGCAATGCGTATGACGTGCGCCAACCACTCTGCTGCCGCTGCTGCTTCCCATTGCGGTGCTGTTGGACTGTACTCCAGCACACTCGTGACGGCGGCATTTACTACCGAAGGCATCTCCCGAATAACCGTCACAAGTTCCGCGGGCGTGCCGCAGAGCCGTGCGAGACAACGATAGGCAGACGCACGAAGCGGTGGGTGTATACTGTTTCTTGTTGCCCGTGAGAGTGCCGGCAGGCTGGGGATGACACTTTGCAAATGTACTACGTCCAACTGCGCAATCTCCATGAGCCAGAAGCAGGCGTCCAGCGCCACCAGGCTGCATTCCCCCAGCGAGGTGTAGCGGGACGATCGCTGGCAACTAGGCGAGTGATGAAGGGCTGAACCTGAAACATTCTCTATGGAAGACGTTAGTGTTGGGTTGTGGATGCTGATCTTCAGCAGAAGCGGAATTACCATCTGCAGCATCACAGAAGTCTCTGGTGCCAGAAGCTTGTTAAGTGCGGCGTAATGATTCCAAACCACTGATGTGAGCAGTTTACAGGCAAGAGCGGCGAGGGTGACGTGCTCCGTCCGTGTGGATGTCATGGCGCAGGCGAGGTACACCTCATCTGACAGCGCCCCATCCATTGTAGTGGGTGTGTCAATGAGCGCCGACTTGGTGTACTCGACGTTACGGATGAGAGCCTCTAACATGGCGAAGAGACCGCCCTCGCGGATCCACTGCTCCATCTGCTGCGGTCCACATGCACGTTCAGCGATGAGGAGAAATGAAAGGACTACGAACGAGATGGATGGTCGCTCAACAAGTCCACTACTCCTTTCTCCAGCGACACACTCTGGAGACATGAAGGACTCCGCACGGGACACTGACGCAGAGTTGGCGACGTTCGTAGAGGTCTGGATGGAGGAGAGGCCAGGCTCCTCTCGTTGCGCCAGTAACTCGCGACTACGCTGGCACTTCGGGACAATCTGTATGAGCGCCGAGCCAGCCACAGACAAGATACTGTCACGCGTGTCACTCCGGAGGTAGTAGCCAGACATCATATGCGATAGCCACAACAACACTGAAGTAAACACCATTTGATCCTGTTGGTTTGATGGCATAGTAAGTAGAAAGCGTCTAAACGCACGGTCAAAGTTTAGGCTTGTAAATCGGCGCTGCACTTCATCTCCAGCTGCAACAGTCAGGCACCACAGACGATTCATCATGACGAAAAACTCATCGTGCGAGCGACATGTTGTCAAGCGTTCGAAGCAATCCTCGTACTCTTTCTCGGGTATGTTAATATCACTACAGTCCCCAGAATTCTCCACTTCACTCCCTTCAGTCGTATCAATTGACATTCTCGTATCGTTGCTCGGGGCGACACGCGCCGAATTTTGACTTTGGATGGGCTCCTCCATGGTTGTCTCAGCGAGGGGGTGTTCACTTTGATTTAAACCGACATTCTTCACGGACCAGTCCCCGTCGGTGGTGGAGGCGTCATGCATATGTGTCTTCCGTATCCGCTTCAGTCGCCGCGTTGCCAGATTCAGCAAGAATTGGCTACAGTACTGCATGGCACCATCAGTAGAGAGACTTAGCGCCTGTAGCACCTCCACTGTCTCCTGCAGGATGGGGCCCTGTTGAGCCACAGCGGTCTCTAACTTCTGTATGTGGCATGCGAGCGCGACGGAGCGGCTCTTGTCAACGTGCAGTCCACGCACATCCCGCCCGAGTGGCAGGCCAAGCAAGACCTGCACTATTGTCGCGATGATGCCGAAGAAACGTGGGTGCTGCCGCTGCAGCAAGCCGACAAGGGTCATCAGCATCGCACCGGCGCGTGCTAGTACCAGCAGACAGTAATACGGGTCCTTGTCTGCGTGCAGCGCCATCATCATGTCAATCACGAGTGACAGCGTCTCCAGTTGTGTGAAGAGAAGTTTCTCCGCCATGGCGAGTGGGGGCCCGTTGTCGCGGCGCTCATTGGTGAGCATGTCGCCCGCGATGGTATCGACGAGATGCATCAGCAAATCGCCCTCCTCTAAAAAGGCGGCAACGGACACCCGCGACACGAGAATGCGCTTCAGTACCTCGCATCCTTCGAGTACGACCAACACGTTGTGGTGCGTGATCTTCGCCGTGAGCTCGGCGAAGAAGGCGAGCCACTTCGACCTTGTGAAGGACACGGGCGGGACGGGCATTCAAAACGTTGACGTGCACACGTCTCTAAATTGCAGGGAGTGAGGGTGTGAGAAGGAAGGGAAAGAAAGAGGCAAAGGAAAATGAAAGCGCAAGAGTTAAAAGAAGAATAAGCACACCCAATAAACAAATAACAATAATAAAAACAATTAGATAT